AGTACGCAGCTGCCCCATGGCAAACTCCACCTCCGCAATTGTGAACTCTTCATCTAGGTCTGAGTTTTCCACCCCCGAGTAGTGTGGTAAGCAACCGTCTACTCCATCAGTTATGTACCGATTCCGGAGTTCCTGTATAAACTCTCCAATTGTGCCTTCATATTGATGCATTAACCGAGTCATTTGCCCCCGTTGCGCCGATTTTGTTGCTGCCGGATCCAAAAGATGCCTTAACAGCTGCCATGTCTTTTTGCATCCAAACTGTCCATTCATGCGATCACAAATCTGGCCCCACTGCTTGGCTTGCAACTCAATTGTATAATTTTCGATTTTACGTTCTAACTTGGCAGTCCTTCTGCGAAGGACGCCATTATGTTTTTGCTTCTTCCACCTTCTCAAGAGACTCGCGTGCGCTTCCCACATGTGTAATAGTCTCGAGTCAGCGGTAAACTCCTCCTGCTCGACTGGCACTTCTACCGTGGTATTACTTACATCCTCCTTGAGCGCCTGTACCCATGCATCCAGGTCATTAATTTTCCCGTTTACAGTGTCTGCTCTGTTTTTCCTAAATCTGTCCCAATCTGTAATTCTATGCCCCCTCACTTTGTCTTTATGCTTCGCAGCGCTAAACGTCGTGGAAAGGATATAGTGATCACTTCCTAGCGCTTGTCCCGTGTTAATCCACTTTGCATTACTGATGCCTCTAAAAAACGTAAGGTCTGGGGAGGTATCCATGCTTATGCTGTTGCCTATCCTCGTATGATCTTGTGGATTGTTTAACAGCGTCCATCGCAGATCCCGGGCAACTTGCCAAAGCCGATTGCCCTTTGGGCTGGCTCGAATATAACCCCACTCCGGGTGAGGCGCATTGAAATCTCCTACCACTATAAGCGGAGCGCGAGCTGCTAACCGTTGAGTTTGAATCAGGAGTTGTGGCAAGCCCAATCCTTTATCTTTTGGAGAACTATACACATTAAGTAAAAACAGACTCTTCTCATACTTTCGTTTAGGCAAAATCTCAAGCAAGACATAGTCTTCCCTGCTGCTATCTACGGAATGCTGAATGGCAGTGATGTTGCGATGGACTAGCACGGCTGTGAAGACGCGTGATACGCCCCTTGAATCAGTTCCTGGCGCTGTAAATGCCTTAAATCCAGGTAATTTTACGGAACCACTAGCCTCCTGTAAGGCTATTATGTCTGGTTTACTGTCCAGATTTTGTACGTGCAACTGCAGGTTACCCCGCTTTTGACGAAAGCCCCTGCAGTTCCACTGCCAAACCTCAATTTGCTGGCGAGGCGCCATGATGAGGCACCAGGTTGACTAATGGCACTTGGCCACCCACGGGAGGCAGTCTTGCCTCCAATAGAGTATGAAGCTGCTGAAACATGCCCATGACCTGGGTTTGGGAATCCTTAAATTCAGTGGAGAGCATGCCGAGACGCTCCTCTATTGTGTCTAATCTGGCTTCGATCTTTTCGACTCGAGCCTCCAACCTATCCTGTCTTTTCCCTTGTTTGCCTACTTTATCCGCAAGTGTTGTTACATCCGACTTAAGACTAATGACCTTAAAAACAGGCTGTGGCATGTCTACTGGTGACGTTTCGGCTAATCGTTTTGCGTTAGCTACCTCATCCCCCGGCAGTGGTCTCTTCACTGTCCCCCGATTCTCCACTTCCATAGCTGCACTCTCCTGTACGCGAGCAGACGCCTCTTGCGTCGCTTTCTGTAGGCCTTGCACTGCTGGTGCCTGTGTCCCCTGCCGTTGGTCGTTTCTAAGTGCGCGTTCCATCTCTGCAATTCTGTTTTCCATTCTTTTAATCAAGTCTCCCTGTCGCTGAACCAGCGCTGCTAACTCCCTCTCTCGAGCGGTTTCGTTCTGGGAGGCCGTGCTGACAAGCTCACCTTTTTGTTGGTGTCGCGTGCGCAGCTGTTGGTACTGGATGCTCGTCCACCATCTTGGCCGCCCCCGCGCCCTGGCAATGGCGGGAAGGAACTCGACCGGTCCCTGCTTTTGCTTCTGCCTTCTTTACCCCTCGGTGACCGCTCCGTGGCCCTCGAGGAACGCTTATCGTTGCCAGCTTCGCTCTCTCTTTCGATGCTCTGCTGCCGGCCTGTCGGTGGCTTGCGAGCCAGGCGAAACTTGCAGTTCCGGCTCCCTGTGTGATGCGCACCATGGCACACGATGCAGACCGGCGTGCACGTAGGTGGCTCTCCTTCTGGCGGGGCAGGATGGTCCTTCCCGCAACGGTGACATAGGTTGCTCTTCGGACGATAGCAAACGTCCGCTCGATGTCCAACTCGTCTGCAGTTGTAGCAGGTCTCGACTAAATTTCTGTACGGGATCACAGCGTACAGACAGTTCCAGTAAGTAATCTGCCGGGGTATGCGTTTTCCCCCGAACGTAATCTGAATCGCCTTTGACTTTCCCAGAGGTCTCGCGTCCAGAATGTCTATGCCTTCATTCTTCTTCAGGAATCCCGCCCGAACTTCTTCCACTGGGCATCCATCATAAGCATTATAAATCACTCCCCGCACGGAGTTCTCCAACGGCGCCACGAACGCCGAAACCGGCAGGTCACGATCACCCAGCTTGAGCGTCTTCACAGTCGCATATGCCCCACTGCGATTTATGCACGGTGTGCTCACCGTCAACGTGTTGTTTGTGCCATTAACCCGCACAATGTCTTCTTCCGCGGCAATCGCACTCGTTAGACGCGCTGCTGCTCTCAGTGCACATCCGAGTTCTCTCGCTGTCACAACACTCAAGTCCCAGTTCTGGGGCCTGTACACAATCTTGAAATCCGTGGCTGGCAACTTGAGAAACGGTCCGCGTTTCTTCCATACCGGCGCTTTCCCCCGCTTGACTTGCTGCGCTCCGTGCGTCTTGCGCCCGTCGCTGCCGGCCTGCGTCTCGCAAGGCTTACTCTTGGCGTTGTCGCCATGCCGAGTCTTCTTAAATCGGTCCTGTGCCTTCAGCACTGGAGCCCACTCTCCCGCTTCAAAATCTTCGGGTGTTATAGTCTCCCCTTCGACGTAGTACTCCATCTTCAGCCCAACAAGACCCACGGTCACCGGGCGCAAGTCAGACGCCGGGCGACGCGGCCCAGGCCAGGCTTGGCCTAGGAGATAGGCCTAGCCTTGCCACCGCGGGGTTGATAGGAAAATCTCGGAAACTCCAAAAACGGGGACAAACTTGCCTAAACGAGTGGTGTCCGTAGGTACAGGGCAACCTCCTGCAGACGAGCCCACTGACAGCAAGTCCAGAAAAAAGCGCGTCCGCCGATAGTCTTGAAACATTAGTTTTAGTCTTGTTAGTTTTGTTCGGTTTTGTAGTGTTAAAATGCCAGTTTTATTGAGTCGGTGCGTTGGTGAGTCTGCCAGTCTATACTTGCTAAAAATAAACCTTATTGCTTTTGTTTGAATCGCTTCTATATTATTAATCTGTTGGTGGGTATACGGGAACCAGACAGAATATATACATAGACAGAATACAAACACAACAACTCCACACACAAATGAAACAGACACGGGAACATACAAATAGAACAGCAATGGAATCAAGAACACTAAGCGCTGCTTCGCATCCCCACATGGTTTCCCTTTGTGAAAGTTAGTGTATTTTTTATTATCTCACATTGCACCTTGTTCTCATTTATCGCAATATAAAAAAACTTATTTCATTTTGTGGATATCGAGCGAAAGAGATAATTTCTTGCAGTCGCGAAGCATCCTTGAGTCATTTAGTCACAATCTATAAAACCAGTAAAACTAAACTGACCATACGGCTGGTTTATCGCTTATAGCGCTGCCACCATTATGTGAGATTCGTACAATGCAAAGGTTAAAATGTCAAGGACATGACACTGTGCGATCTAGTGCCACGGTCGAGAATGATGGTACGTCACTGCCTCCGGAATCGCAGAAGAAAGATAGAAGCAAATACCACTCGTTCACTCGGGCGTAACATGTAGGTGTGTGTGCGGAAGCGGGACGTAGACAAGAAACAAAGGAACTAATTTGTATAGATGTAACAAGATACATGTATATATAAAAAACATGGACATCGCGCAACCAGATGAAATGAGAAGGGCGCAACATAGCAGGAAAGTGAGGGCAATATAACACCCCTGACGACCGCCACCGTGGTTTAGACCCGAGAGGAGCTGCGGTGAGCGGATGTTTTGTCGAATGATGGAGTTAACTAACCGGACTGGGGGAGTCATCCGCTCGGTCGCTGCAAGGAGCACGCGCTGCCGGGGAATCTCTCTATTTATCAGGCGCGTAAATAAAACACTCCTAACGCCGTGCTGCGTGTGTGCGCCGAGGCGGGAGCAACGCTTGCGCTCGCAGCGCTGCTTCCGCGCAAGAAGGCGCCGTGAATATTTCAAGGCCCAGTCAGACAACCGGGCGAAGCTAGCTGCCGCCGCCGCTACACCGGCGCGCTCCTTTCGGGCACTCCGCCCATCGCACCTCCTTCGCCCCGAGCATTGTACAGCGCTGGCTGCGGGCTTTTATAATTTACGCCGGCGTGGCACCATTTCTTCCTCTCTCGTGCGCCGTTCGGATCCCGCGCGAAGCATGTTCGCTGGCTCTGTTCTTCTCTCTCAATACCTACCGTGCAATTACAGTTTCGGGCTGTATACACCGCTTTCACATAGCGGATTCTTTGTCCCATTCTGTGCGCGCGCCACTTTATATCATGTCTGCTTCTCTATCTACTGACGAGAGTCTCACACTACTATTCGAACGATGCGTTGTATTCTGTAATCCATTTCTTTCTTTTTTTTAGAACAGTTGCAATGTTGCGTGCGCAACCTAGTCGCGTTGTCTCGGCTCACGATAAGATTACGTGCGAAAAGGCGTGAGGGGCGAGGGCATTTTGCAACCACAGCACTTCGCGCCCTACGGTGAATCTGCAGCCGAGGTCTCCCATTTAAAAAAAAGACTCCTCTTTTGGACTCGAGAATGCGCGTTGCTTTCTCGCAGGCCTGGGTGTCTTGGCACGTGCGGCAGGCTACATCTCACCAAGCCGTGGGAACCACCGCCGTCAGACAGCGCAGCACGCTGGCCATTGCGTGCAAACTACCGCCCAGGACCGAAGTGTAAACGCCACGCGAGGTGAGATGAGCAGTTATAACTCCCTAGACTGTGCTTGCTACTTAGTCAATGCTCTGTTTTCACCCAGTAGTGCGACATGCTCCACCGATGAGGTGTACTTGTGTTAACTGGATGTGCTATTCTATTACTTGCAATGGCCCGATTCGTATGTGCACTTCAAATACTCGTCCCTGTTTTCACTGGCATTCAAACGTCGTGCCTCTGCGCGAACTGCCAGATAGGGGGTCAAATTGATCAGCTTGTTGCGAATGTACGTGCCTATATAAAGCATGAAAGAGGCGCGCAGTGCGCAGGCAGCGCTTTTTTGTGTTTATATAAAGTAAAAACCCATATGCAGTTTAAAACAAGACTATTGGTCTGTCGTAAGCTTCACATATTCCGTAATAGTAAATGAATATATATATATATATATATATATATATATATATATATATATATATATATGGGAAATACTTGGATACTTAAGGGCTCGTTTTTCTTTGTTTTGACCCAATAATAATGAGATCTAACACACAATAATTCCAAGCAAAGTATAGGAAAAGTTCTTACAATAAATTTAATCTCAATGTGAAGAAAGAAAATTGACAGATCCCACGTACAGTGGAAATCGATGATATACGAAGCACGAATGAGAAAGTTAGATATGCCACTTTAAAATCACCACAACGCTACGAGGTGGAGGTAAATGATGGCGTTCATGACTTCCGTGTCATATTAGCATGTTTGGATGTGTCATCTGTTCACGTCACGTGACACCAAACTTAGTATATGTGGAGCTGGTGAAACGGCTGCCAGCACGCTATGAGTGTGGTATGTTGTCATGTTCTTACATGACAAGCATGTAAAGATTATCATGTTTGCACCAGTAATATATTTGGTCATCAACTGGCGTCACGTAAAATCTGGTCTTGATCCTAAAATTTTCTTACTAACCCCGCACTTTGCATCTAAGCGACGCGACCATGAATGGAAAATTCGTGAAATTGATTGCCGTACCGATGTGTACAAGAGTTCTTTTTTTTCCCCATTCCATTGAGGCTTGGAATAAACTACCAGGTAATATTGTTAATTGTACATCTGATGCTCTTTTTCACACGTTTATGTCGCACATGTAAATTTTTCATTGTGGCACTGCTTGTACATTTGACGCGCTATTGTGCAGATTTGTACCACTTATTCTCATGTCAGTTCTCTTTTTTTTCCCCATATGATGAATCGTATTCATGTATTTGCATATACCCCCCTGCTGTAATGCCTTGTTGGCGCTGCAGGTAAAATGAATAAATAAATAAATAAATATCTGGAGCTAGCAAAACAGCCGCGAGCGGATCATGAAGGGCTCAATATACTCCAATGTAGCGTTGCGCGCGCGCACGCTGGGCACAGCGACGCTACGTTAGCAAATCGCGAGCACTGTAATCTTACACCTGGTGCGACCGGCGCGACCAGCGTTCGTCGGCGCGACCTGACGGTAACCGGCGCGAAATGCGACATGCTGCATTTCGTGCCGATGCGATATCGAGACAACACTGCATCTCCCTCTTTTCGTCATGGAGGGACGCCGGGCGCACTGAAACGCGCATGCGTCAGAGAAACACAGCGCGGCGCGGGCCTGCGAGTATATGGCAGGATCGGCACCTGGCGTGGGTGGCAATGCCAGCGTCACGCGAGGAAATGAATGCCGGCGAGCATGCGCACCGCGTCACGTCGAAATGTATTGGCGCCTTGACTGTCGCATGTAGTGATGCTCTCAGATGACACGCATCTCATGATTATCATGTATGCACCAGTCACATACCTTCGTCATCCATTGACGTCACGTAATACCATATTTGGCGTATGGAAAGCTAGCAAAACGGTCGCGAGCGCATCATGAGTGTGGCATGAAGTCATGTTGTTACATAACACGCATGCCGTGATTATGATGTTTGGATGTGTCATTTACCTATGTCGTCCGTTCGTGTCGCGTAATACCGAGTTTGGTACATGTGAAGCTAGTGAAACAGCCGCGAGCGTATCACGTAGTCTTGTTACGTGACACGCATCTCATGTTTATCATGTTTGCGCCAGTATCATACCTTCGTCATTCATTCACGTCCCGTACTACCAAATTCGGTATAAGTGAAGCTAGCGAAACAGCCGCCAGCGCACCATGAGCGTTGCATGTAGTCGTGTTGTTACATGACACGCATGTCATGATTCTCATGTTAGGATTTGTCATTTGTGTTAGCCATGCAATCATCTGATACCATACCAGTTTTGCAACATGCCATGTGAACGAAACCACCGCAAGAGCTGCAGGACCATGAAATGGAAATCATAACAATCATGACATGTTATCAATATTTTCATGTTATGACTAGTCAAATATGTTCGTGGCACAGTCATGTTATGCAATACCAAGTTTGGTATCAATACCATTATCGAAACGGCCAGGAGAGCTGAAAGTCATAGGCGGATAGATAGATAGATAGATAGATAGATAGATAGATAGATACATAGATAGATAGATAGATAGATAGATAGATAGATAGATAGATAGATAGATAGATAGATAGATAGATAGATAGATAGATACGCTCAAAGTCGCCGAAGTTCGCTAAGAAATGCTTCTCGGTTAAAAAGTGGGTGAAAAGATAACTTGCCGTGGGCAGGAACCAAACCTGCGATCTTCGAATAGCGCGTTCGATCCCCTACCGCTGATCTACCACGGCGGCTATCCCCAAGCCACATTATTGGGTTTATACGTGAATTTGAACGTGGGAGTGGAAGCCACTGCCACCAGTAGCCTGGGCGGCGAGTGTGGCACACTTTTATGAGCTTGTTTGGCGTCACGTAGCACGTGAACTTATTACGAGCTGGCAGCTGACCAATAGCGCCTCGCATACAACCTAGAAGCACCAAGTCTGCCAGTTTTTTTTATGTTGGCCAGTAACTGGCAGTGAGTTTGGTGCCGCATGCGAGAGCAAACTAGGAGGCTGTAATAAATATACACTCACTAATGGGCTAGCTACAGAAAAAAAAAAAAGAAATACGCGCGCCGCTTTTAACGGGATTGGCCGATGAACGTAAGAGAAGGGGCCCCGACGGTGTCGTGGTAATTCTTCGCTATCAAATAGTTTTTTTCTTTTCATTACTCACTCAGGCAATTTTCAACTGAATCCCCCCTCTTTATTTTTCAATGTGCGAATCGAGAGAATGGAAGCGATCACCGGAGCAGCAAGACAGAAACGGCGCTTAAAGCCACGACGCAGATTGAGCAGGGTGAAGTTATGCCGCCACAAATCGAAGCAGCCAACAACAACAAAAAAAAGAAGAAAAACCTAGATCTCTTCATCGTCGCTTTCGTTGTCATGAGAAACAAGAAGATATTGTTTTTACCTGTGAAACGGGGGTGCGGAAAATCATTCTGTATTTCCTTGTTCGTGGCTGGAGAGGAACAGAGGTGGGAAAAAGGATGTGTCGCGAAAGCAGAGTTAGGTGGGATTCAGATTCCATTTGCGAGGTGGCGGAAAAGACAAAGGAAGCGCTGGTCACGCGGCATTAGAACTTCTGTTCGGAGTTCCAAAACGACGAGAGATGTTTGGTATGCTAGCTCGTACGTTTAACTCAATGCGAACGAGAATCAATTTGAAGAAAAAAAAGTGAGAAGAGGTAAGCGAAGATTTCGAGCTTTTGAAATAATCAGCCAAAACAGAATACAAAGCCGTAATAAGGCAGCCCGAATTCAGGCGATAAACTGCGCTGGCCGCGAAGATGAAACAAAGCGTGAAATGAAGAAATCAGAGGCTGGGGGAAAACTAGGGGAAGCAATATGGCTATCATCGACCACAATTTCGTCCACACAAATATAGATAAACTCTGGCAGCGGAAAGCATACTATATCAAATAGGGTAAATACTAGAAGAGAAAATTGGGGAATCGTGTAGGGTATAGTGCTCCAATACCACCGTGAGCTATATAACTGTTACCCATTGAATGCTTACTGAACTGGTAGCGAGGAGTGGGATTCTGGCACACCCGTTTTTATGATGAATCATGACACACTGCAATAGCTGGAGACACTGCCAAGCTTATCTTTTAAAATGTTTTCCACCTAATAAACTGGTAAAATAGCGTTAAAAACAAAATAACAACTCCTTGAAGAGGTGGTATAGGCGGGATAGCAGGAACTCTGAGAGGGCCAGTAAAAAGGACAAATATCTGGGAAAGATAGCATAGATGGTCACGATTCTGCGTATATTACAGAAGAAGTCTTGTGTGCGAACAATCGTGAAGTGCAGAGCGCAAACAGTTTTTGCCAGACAAACACTTACGCAGATGTGATGCGAGACGAGTGCAGCTCGCCATATAGGAGCAAGGAGGTAGAGAGGAGGCAAAGAAAATAATTAATATTTAACAACTAATGTCGTTGTAAAGAATATGTGACAGCGTAATTTGATTTTATTTATTGAACACCACACTTCCATTTAGGATGGCGCTGCACATGTCGTCGAAATATGATAGTCATCTGCCGGCCTTCTTTCGTGCATAGCGTCGGATTTTCAGCGCAGACTAAGGAACACTAGGGTCTTTGGAATTGCTTACCTATGTATGTACTAGTAAATGGATACACCACATTAACACAATCAAATTGATGTTGCTCCCAGATATGCGTACTATTGGCTTTTGGATCGACAATGTTAACAAGTATCAACGTAGCCACCACTGCAACATGGCTGGGAGTTCAGCAAGTGCTTTAGCAAAGGCCATGTAACTGAATCGTGGACACATACACAGACAGACAGCCCAAACTTTCGACAAAAGTGGAAGCTTCGGCTAGTTGGTGTGTGGTTATATTCGCAAGTTTTTTCAGCGTCCGAACATAGGAAAAAAATCAGCAGCTTATACAGAAAGAGCGCTGACTTCCAACTAACTTTATTTCCGATAGTGGCGAAACATTGGCGTCGAAAAGGATGATACAGAGCAGGAAGATAAAAGACAATCGTAATCGAAGTAGC